CATTAATAATTAGTACGTACCAGCAAGAGATGCTCTAGTCACTGCATGTAAAAGAGGATATTCTTCCTCAATTATGGCAATATCCTCAATGACTGTTACCTCAATATTTTCAGAAGTTTCAAAGACTTCTCTTAAGTAATTAGTAAAATTCGAAGGAGTCATTCGTTCCGGATCGGGGGATCCCAGATCTATTAAGAAAATTCCAAACTTTTTAGAGATTTATATCACATAATACACACATATGATGCAACAATAAACCTTACCCTTTGCAATTCTTTTACCCGATTCAATGGCTTCTACTTGTTCTAGAATTTTACTAAAGTTTTCGGGTTCCACCAAGCCTTCGAGCACAATGCCGACCTCGTCGATTTTATTCCATGTTTTGGGTCGGTGTTCTCGGAAAGTTATTTGTTCAAAAGCGGCGTCCAAAATGCCCAAGAGACTCACTTGAACAAAGTTTACATAATCTTCGTTATCGGCACTAGGCTTATCAACAAAATGATAAAGAGGTTTGCGTATGCCTGCTTCAATTGCCCGAGCTGTTGCCTTTTGGGTAGCCTCTAAATAAATAATTAAATGAGATCAGATCCACAATTATTTATGAATGAAGAAACCATCAATTATGCCATATTTGTAATGACAAAAAATGTCATGTGATTTTATTTAATTATAAATAAATGCAAACAGTTTCTAAGAATTCTAGATTTTACGTTAACATTAGGATTCAAAAAATGGTTTAGGTTTTTTAATGCTGTATAGAATGTATAGTTTTTACTGGAAAATAGACTCTATAATGCTTATATTTGAGAAGATGTCTTTGACAATCACTAGATAAAATTTGAAATTCAGAAAATTACATCCGTTGTCTTGCACTGTACCTGCAAATCTCCTAACATCATCCACATCATCATCTAAGCTTCCAGTCGGTGCTAAAACCAGCCTTCCACCCACTGCATTAGAATCAGCTATCAAAGACACCTCTTGACCAAACTTATTATCAATAGAGGCATAGGTTTGTATAGTTTCAGCGAAAGGAGCCGAGAGGCTGGAAGGTTTTAAACTTTCAAGGTTCGAATAAATTAAAACTAAGCCGTCATATTTGCCTGACTGCACATTTGAAGTTTCAACTGCAGGCTCGCCATTTATTTTGGGAATTTTAGCAAATGACAACATGGTTTTATTTTTTGGTAATCGGCAAAAAAGATGAAATTAATCGAGTTAAATTCTATCAATAATCCTAGTCACGTTATTAGCTAGCATCACATCATATTCATAGCCAGTCAAAAGATAGCTATTATCACGGGTTCCAACATTTTAAGAATTTTTTGGCTAGCATTAAAAAACAGTCCAACTATAAGAAGTTTTTGCATTTTTACTAAAGGCACGTACTTGCTATTTCGAAATATAAATCAGCTAACTCAGAGCAAAATAAGTTTATAGTAAAGTCAAAAAGATTATCGATAGAAACATTGCCAATTTGTAAGTATTCATTTTTTTTGTATATACAGTGGCGATCAAAAGTAATGCAGCGCAAAATTGAAAATTGTTAAATCACGATATCTTTGCACAGACTTTAGAACATCAAATTATAGTTGATAGATTTAAACTTAAATATAATAAATTCAATGCGGACTATTAAATCAATTTTGTCACAATCGCAACATTTATTCAATTTTTAGTGTTGCATTATATTTGCTCGTTTTTAATATAAATTTGTATAACCCTCATTATAAAATAAAAACATCTTATTTTTTATTTTTATACTGCCATCTAGTATAACCGCCATGTACTTTTATTATGTCACAAATCCTTTCCGGCATAGAATGAATTAAGTTTGTACAATAATTCACATCAATTTCCTCCCAAACCAGCTGTATTTTTTCCATAAGTCTTCAGTACCCGAAATTGATCCTGATCTAT